GAATGTTTTGGGTTGGAGGGACCTTAAAGCTCATCTCATCCCACCCCCTGCTATGGGCAGGGACACCTTCTGCTATCCCAGGCTGCTCCAAGCCCCATCCAGCCTGGCCTTGGACACTTCCAGGGATCCAAGGGCAGCCACAGCTTCTCTGGGCATTCTGTGCCAGGGCCTCCCCAGTCCCAGGGTCTCACCCTGTGTCTGTGTGTCCCAAGGTGTGAGGTTCCAGCCTGTCCAGAGGAGCCCAGCTCGGGGCTGCCCAGGACACCTGGTGTAAGTGGTACCTGTGGCAGCATCACCCCCAGTGAGGGCAGGAGGAGGCCAAGCCCCTCCAACTGCCCATTTACCCCTGAGGGCAGTTCCCCCTCCTTTGCCCGCCGTTCCCTGGTGCCACCCAGCCATCCCAGTGGCTGCTCTGGGACATCCCAGCAGAGGCTTTAATGGGTGTGTGACAGGGTCAGGATTCACTTGGGAGCAGCCTGCTCTTCACCAGACACATGCCAGGGACTGAGGGGACCCCGTCCATCCCATTGGCTGCTCCTGACCTCACACAGCTCCGTGTCCGTGAACAAGCCACAGGTACAACAGGTAATCCTGACCAGGCAGAGCATCTCAATTCCCAGTGCCCGGCTCAGCAAGGAGGGCCCATCTGCACTGACATTCATCCCAACTCCGGCTACAAGTTCCCAAAATGACAAACCCAGTTAATATTAGCAAGTGCAGCAGAGAAGTAGCGGCACGGATCATCCTTCCCACTTCTGCACCCACAGAGGAACGGGGAGTTTTCAGATCCCAGGGAATAAACACTGTACAGCTGGCAGGGAGCCAGGAGAAAGTCACCCTCGCTGACAAGGCTATGGGGTTTGAGCAAGAAAACACTTCCATATACTACAAAGTTGTTATTTTTTACAACAGGCAAAGAACGTGGTTTCCCTAAGTACCAGTGACACTCCAGGTTTGGATCTGGAAGACTAAATTGCTTTCAAAAATATTTGTGCTAAAAATAACACCAAAGCTTTCAACTGCTCCTAGTGCTGTCTGAAATGGGAGCATGCAGCATATTTATGTGCTGGAAAACCTTATTGCCTAACTAAGAATCCCAGGTTTCTGGAAAAAGGGGCTTGAAAGGGGAGTGGACACACGGATAAAACAAAACTTTATCCAGTGGAAGAACCAAAGGACAGGGCTTTGTGAAGGGAGCCTAAGAGAAAGGTGGAGAGGGATGTTGGACAAAGGCTTGGAGTGACAGGACAAGGGGGAATGGCTTCCCACTGCCAGAGGGCAGGGATAGATGGGATGTTGGGAAGGAACTGCTGGCTGTGAGGGTGGGGAGGCCCTGGCACAGAGCAGCTGTGGCTGCCCCTGGATCCCTGAAAGGGATGCTTGGAGCAACCTGGGCTGGTGGAAGGTGTTCCAGGGGATGGAACAAGATGAGCTTTAAGGTTCCTTCCAACCCAAACCAGTCTGGGATTTCAGGGTTCTATTCTGCTCTGCACAGTTCCATCACAGGGGGTTCCCAGTGTAGTTTGATGGTGTGGGTTCCTCATGGAGATGCTGGAACACGGAGCTGGGGGTGCAGGAAGGGGACAAAGCCCTGCAGCCATGTCCTGGCACACCTCTCACTCAGTGCTGGAAATGGACTCTTGTTCCTTACATTTTTAAGGCAAGTTTCACTTGTAAGTAGTTTTTGGTAACACAACGGGGATTTTCATATTATTGGGAGCACCAAGGGGGAGATTTCCAGCTCACATCATCAGTTCAGTGGATTTATTTCAGTGTTATTTTTAGGCATTTAAAATTCCCACGGGGTTTTTTTCCTTTACCTGGCACAGAAAAAGGCTGTTGGAGGTAAATCGGTTTTGAAGTCTGAAAATAATAACAGTTCTTACTAATTAGAAGTGAGTCACTAGATGAAAGCTGATCACTTCAACAAGTCTGAAGGCATCTCTTGGGGGTTGGGCTGGGGCAGGGGTGAGGGTGGCAGAGCTGTTGGACCCTGAGGAGTGAATGCCTGGCAGGAAACCCTTCTGGTGTGGGGTTTGTGTCTAATGAAACCCAGCAGGTTCTGCTCCTGGCCACAGAAGGCAGAATGGGGTTTGAGCTCCTGGTGGGGGAGGACAGGTCAGTGCCTCCCTCGCAGGGCACAGTGAGGTCCCTTGGGTGTTCTCCCCGCAGATGAAGGAATTTGTCTTCCTTTGGATTGGATGTGATGGGTTCATTTCTAAGGGATCAGGGAATTGGTGGGACTCACAGCTTGAGAGGACTGATGGCACAGTTACCTGCAGAGCTGTGTGTGCCTTCATCCCCACGGGATTTCTGACATTCCTCTGGAAAAGGTGGATGGGATAACTGAGTGTGCTGAAGTCACAGAATCAAAGAATTGTTTAGGTGGGAAAAGCCCCCTGAGACCATCAAGTCCAACCCTCCCCCAGCACTGCCAAGGCCACCACTAACCATGTCCCCAAGTGCCACATCCACATAGCTTTTAAATCCTTCCATGGATGGGGACTCCACCCCTGCCCTGGGCAGCTGTGCCAGGGCAGGACAGCCCTTTTGGGGAAGCAAAGTTCCCCAAGATTCAATCTAAACCTCCCCTGGCACAGCCTGAAGCCGTTCCCTCTCCTCCTGTCCCTGTTCCCTGGGAGCAGAGCCTGAACCCCCCCAGCTCCCCCCTCCTGTCAGGGATTGCAGAGCCAGAAGGTCCCCCCTGAGCCTCCTTTTCTCCAGGCTGAGCCCCCCCAGCTCCCTCAGCCGCTCCTGCTGCTCCAGCCCCTTCCCAGCTCCGTTCCCTTCCCTGCACACGCTCCAGCCCCTCAGTGTCTCTCCT